CATAACCAAATACCTTATTTCAATAACAACTTTGATAGAGCCGAAATAGTGCATAGTTACCTTTGAATTTATGAATATATAACCTTTCGTCGCCTGCTTTAAAAGATATTACGTTACCAGCTGTGTTAGTATTCCATGGCAAAACATTATCAATGTAAGTTTCCAGCAACGTATATTTTTTATTACGTCAATTCTATGTCAGGTTGGTATTCGTGACTTTTTGTTGACGATAAGCATTATCGTCGGATAATTGCCATTCGTGTACGTTGAAACTTGATAGTATTTTTTCTATTGAAATCGGATGTACTATCTGACGCGGATCCAGAGTCCACATTAACTATCGCACAGATGGGGTCCACAGGGGCGGGTACACGGGGGTGAGTCCACATGGGTGAATACCCTAACGTTAAGACGATATGAGGGGTTAAATCTATATATTTTTTTTAATTCTGCAAATTAAGTGTATGTCAATCCGTACCAGACATGAATTCACTGCAGACTCAATTTACCCGTGAAATTAGAATTTCAGAATTAAACGTGCCATCCGTACCGAAGGTAATCAGAATATTTTCAATAGAATTTAATCATAAAGTAAATTCATACCTGGCAACTCATGTATAGGTATATAAACCTAATATCGTTATTTAAACTTCATTTTAAACCTATTTTTTGTAATTTTTTAATTTTTGTATGTTGTGATTATTTCACTAAGGAAAAAATATCAATACTTAGTTACCGTATGATATATCGAAAGGTCCACTGATTAATCTCAGATAAGAAAGTATAATAATAATCCAGGTATTGAAATGCACAGCATCGTGTTGGGATTCAATATTTCGACATTAATTATGTCATCATCAGGAATGAAAAAATTATCCATATTAGCAAGCTTACATGCACTAGTACCAAAAGTGTTTAACCAATCAAAACATTACCTCTAGTAGGTGACATAGCATTGGTTTAAACAAAAGATCAAAGCATTATTATTCTACTGATCAAAGCTACCTACAAAAACAAAGAAAGCTCCTTTGAAGCTCTGAGCCCATTGTTAAGCAAAGGGTGTACTCTACGTATAGCAAACGCTTCTTTAAATAATAGGATAGACCAGTTTTGGGAGCTGTCAAATATTTCGACATTAATTATGTCATCATCAGGAATGGAAAAATTAACCATATTAGCAAGTTTATATGCATTAGTACCAAAAGTGTTTAACCAATCAAAACATTACCTCTAGTAGGTGACATAGCATTGGTTTAAACAAAAGATCAAAGCATTCTTATTCTACTGATCAAAGCTACCTACAAAAACAAAGAAAGCTCCTTTGAAGCTCTGAGCCCATTGTTAAGCAAAGAGTGTAGTCTACGTAGGCATAGCAAACGCTTCTTTATAGGATAGACCAGTTTTGGGAGCTGTCATCAATGTTAGTACTAGAAAATATTAAACCTAATTTATTACTTACATTACAGACGACATTATCATTTTCAAGTATACCCTGTAAGCCTAAAACATATTGGAATGCCTCACAGTGCATATA